CTCCAGTCCCGCGTTGCCTCGGGAAGGGAAAGGCAAAACCAGGAGCCACTGCTGCCATTGCAAAGCGCCGCCACGGCTCTTCCTTTTTGCCTTTCCCTTCCCGAGGAAACGCGGGACTGGAGCCGCGCGGAGCCGTGCCAGCGGTAACAACTCCTGACAGCCCCAGCCGGATACCTCAGCAGAGCCCGGGTGGTGCGAGCCTCGTTTCCTTGGGAGCTGGAAGAAGGCTGGCTGCTCCTTTCGGCTTCACGGGATTCGTTTCCACGGTAGACAAAAGTGCCTCAAAAAAAAAAAAAAGTGCAAAAGTGGAAGGCGTGCGGAAGAGGGGCGAGTATATAACAAACTATATTTTGAGTGGAAATGTTGGGGGGTCGTCTTATACGCCGGGTCGTCTTATACACCGGCATATACGGTACATTCTTTTCTCTTACAGCAACCATGCCTATTTTCTGCCACTAGCTAAATAAGGTATTAGTAGCTATCACATCATAAAACAGCCAGGCAGCATTAGCTAACCAACTTTGGCTAACATGAAAAAGTTGAGGTGGTTTGCGACTGGCTAGTACATAGATGGCATCCACTAGAAAATCTTATAGATCTTTTGAGTATAGGAAACTGAAGTAAAAAGTTTGTGAAAATATTAGAACTTGAGTTTAATCTGGAGGAGATTTTATTTTTATTTATTAAAATATGTTTTTAATTGTTACTTCTGGGACTTATGCTCCTCTTTCTCTTAAATTCCAAGAATTCTGTTGTTTTCACTTTCTCCTCTCTCCTAAATTTATTTACTATCTGCCCACTAAATTTGTTTGCATGCCCTCACCATTCCTATTCCAAAACCAAACCTTGTAGGGTCCACTTCAATGCTAATAGGCTGCCATTTTGAAGATGTAATCATAGTTCTTAATAAAGGCTCCAAAAGTTTCAAACAAATCTCACCTGAATTTCATTTCTTGGCAGAAGGACAGATCATCTCGCCTCTCCATCATTACCTTCACAAGTTGGCAGAGTTTGGTTTTGATCTGAATTGCATGCACCAGATTCCCGAGGACACGCACGTACCTGTCAGGTGATATGAGATAAGGCCTCTCAATTAATGAAACTTCCGACAACTGCCAACATCCTCTGAGCATCTCCTCCAAAGCCATCACAGGCCAAAACTGGATTTTCCCTAATAAATCAGCATTCCCATACTGGTACCTGGGTTGGACTATACTATTGTGGGGGAATCTGATGTTGGGTTGCAGGAAGGAGGGGGTCTTTCCCCAAAAACGTAAAAAAAAAAAAATCAGCCTTGAGTTCCTGGTATGCAGAAGGAAGTCAGAAGGGATAGGTTTTATCTGATAGTTATGCAGATTGTGCTTTAGTCTGGCAAGATTCCTGTCTATGGGTGAACAGCAATAAAGAAACTACTCGGAGTAATTAATTGTGTCATTCTTGGTTCCTTGTGCTGATAGCTATCTGGGGATTATAAAGGTTGAACTTCAACCTATCCATAGGACATCCAGTTTCAAGGCATGGATAGATTTTATCTGTTGAACCAAGCCATCATAACATATATGAATGAAAATATATGAATGGTACAGCACAAAAAACAAACAAACAAAAGCTTTCAATGGATCCTCTTATCCATGAAATAACAATGGTATCTTTGGAGGTGGTTCAGCTTTGACAGCCCATGAATTAACAGTTAAAAAAAAAAAGAAATGGTTGCATATTAGAAAGGATTGCTGAAAAAATTTCAAGAAGTTTTTAGGATTTTAATTTTTAGGAGTTTCCTTTCCTCCCAGTTGTTCTTTTCTATTGTAAAGCCTTTGACAGATTTTTACAAATAGAAATCACACGAGAATAAAGATACAAAAAGGGAAGTAAGATGATAAAAATAAAACATAAATAAAAACCTTATAAAAACATTTAAGGACTTTTTTTTTATAATGGTTATGATTTTTCAAACATGTACATTAAGCACAGAAAATACCTTTGTTTTGTTTCTCAATCTGGAGGAGTTTCACAAGAGAGATTCAGGGAAACATAGGTAGTCTATTGGTTATAAGTTACCTATTCTTTCTCTTAGATAGGTTGCCTATTCTTTTTATACGGTCTCCTAAATATGAATCAGAGGCTGAAAGGCATGATTCAGCCAGCTGTGATTCTTAGGAGCTGGTAGGAGGTCAACTCCCTGAAGCAGACCAAGGAGATTATGACCAGGAGAATATGAGATCAGATTCTGGAAGGGATACTAGGTCTAGGACAAGTGGTCACTCTGAAGGACAGAATGAAGGATCATTTATTTGGGAAGCAATGAGAATGCCTCTTATTAATTCATGCCCACAACCGAGCCTTGTTAGGAGCAGCTACCAGCACATTACTCTCTGTTAGACTGGTGTTCTAGGGCAGTGGCCCCCAACCTTTTGGGCACCAGGACTGGTTCCATGGAGACAAGTTTTTCTGCAGATCAGAGGGAGCGTGGTTGCGTGTGCTGCCTCCATCCCATGGATGGGGCTTCGCTTATTCGTGCAGCCCAGTTTCTGGCATGCTGCGGCCCAGTACCAGTCCATGGATTGGGGATCCCTGTTCTAAGAGACCAGTTAGTGGACCTCCCTGTTGTTTTGAACCCTACATGGACAGACTAGTCTTATTACTCTACTGCTGCTTCATCCCTCTTCCGAGACTCATGTGATCTTAGTTACTTACTTTCTGGATCTGCCATATGTCTCTTTTGGCTATGACTTTGGGTAGACTCTGCAGGCTCTGAATGCCTGAACTCTCAGCTTCAATCTCCACTGGCACTACCAGCATTGCGCCCAGGGTATCAGGCAAGATCTATGATACCAGGAGCCATGGTGGCACAGTGGTTAGAATGCAGTATTGCAGGCTAACTCTGTCCATAGCCAGGAGTTCGATCTTGACCAGCTCAAGGTTGTGTCAGCCTTCCACTCTTCTAAGGTCAGTAAAATGAGGACTCAGAATTTTGGGGAACATACGATGACTTTGTAAGCTGCCTAGACAGTGCTATAAAACACTATATATAGTGGCATCTGCTATTGCTATCTTGCCTTCCTGGTATTTTTTCTGGAACTTGGGTGCAACTGCTCAGCCAAGCGCTCTACTTGCCCTTTTGTTATCTAAATTACAGTCCCATCATTCAACAAAATTCAGCTTGCTTCTGCGTGATTGTTGGGTCTAAAAGCAGACACCCTCGCTCTGCAATAAACACACAGGCCACAGGGGAGAATCAGAGGAGTGAACTGACTTGCCTAACTAGATTCAGCATCATGGTCTCAATCCTGGCTTGCCCAAGGTGTTCTGAGCTGCCTTCAGTGTGGTTATCAAGCAGGTTCTTCATGATCGCGATGGTCTGCTCCACAAACTGCGTATTGGTGTCATTTAACAAGACCTGCGCAGGAGCAAAACATGCTGTTGGTTATAAATTTTCACCATATTTCCTTTTGAAATTCTTCTAATTTTCTGCTTTGTGTGTCAGCAATTTTTTCAGACCCTTGAGAAATTTCTGATAGCCCACCTGTGCTGTCAAATCCCATCTGAGAACATAGTTATTTTGCAAGATTTGGGTATCCCATAATATCTCAATGGTTAACATATGCTAACTATAATATATACTATAACTTCTGCTGTAACTTTTTAAGTAGTATTTCAAGGAGCTATGACATCATCTAACCATAATAAAGGCATCATATTTACACTTCTTTTGATAGAAAAAAGATAAAGTGATTGATGTCTATGGAAATTTTCAATCATCCAGATCATGGTTGTCCCAAAGGTGCTTTTTCCAAAGGCAAATGGATTTTGTTTTTCCTTGAAGAAAACTGAAGAAGCTTCTTGGATTACAAGCAAAACGTCTTCAAGGAAAAGCAAAGGTCAGTTGCCTTTTGAGAAAGCATCAACAGGACCAAATGACTGATAGTATCTTAATAAAGAAAGGCAAAGCAAAAACATCTAGATATTGAGGATGGAAAACCAGCTAGTACTTCTACAAAGTTCTGCTGACAACAAATTACTCCCCAATATTAATTTCCTATGTAGAAATCTCCAGAATCAGCCAACTACCTAATCAACCAACCAATGAATGAATCAATCAGGGCGTCTGTCAATTAAACAAACTGAGTCCAAGAGCAAAAGATGGCTTATACGGACATCCAGCCAGTTACCATGGCTGAAGGTAGATCTGACTCTTGAGTTATTTTGTTTCTGAGTAATACCCTTATCCCAATCATCAATCTGATTTGTCTTCTAAATACAGGAATGTGGTAGAAAGGAGGAATCCTTCACTTGGGTAGTCCTGCACTTACAACCACAATTGAGCCCAAAATTCCATTGCTATGCAAGGCAATTGTTGAGTTTTGGCCCAGTTTACAACTTTCCTTGCCACGGCTGCTAAGTGAATTAAATGAAACTGAACATTTACCTGCCCTTGCGAGTCGAAGAACTTGCTGATGATGTTCTTTAATTTGTTGAAAAGCATTGGATAAAGGGCGGGGCTCAGCTCCAGGCCTATGAGGTCCTTAATGTTAGTTCGTATCTGCAGACCCACTTTCTCGTGGGTACAGACCATCAGGGACAACAAGCGGTCCATGAACTTGCTCACAGGAGTCTCGGTGTTGCCGTCAGTCGACAGCATGGAGATCATGGAGCCTTTCCTCTCGCTCACGGGGCCCATGGGGGGACTATAGGATGGAAAGGGTGTATTGCCGCGATACTGCAAGCACACTCCACCAAGGGCGCACAGAAAGCCGGTCATGTTGATCCACTCTTGCAAAGAGTCTGTGTCTGACAGATCAATGGAACCTCCACCACTGACATGGGACATCCGCCTCTTGACTATGGTCTTGTGAAGACTTTCAGCAACCTGCAGAGAGTGACATACAAGAAGGTGGGGTGAGGACAGCGGCCGGAATTCTATAAGTGCAAAAGTGGAAAGATATGTGAATTCTCACAATGGAACTAAGAATGGAAAAAGTGGAGTTGGTGGAGATGGCAAAGCTAACAGTTTTAATTAAAGAGAATTAGCCAGTTTGGTTTCCACTTTGGAAACCACTTCTGGTTTCATGCCACACACACACACAAACTGTGATCTTAGGTGCAGCACAAGCAAACTGTCAACTCATAAAACATTTCTATGCCTGTTTTAGAGTTGCCATGAACAGAAGGGGGAGAAATTTGAAAGAGCAGTGCAGCACTTTGGAACCGAAAGTGTATTCCATTCTTATCTTGCAAAGATTATAACTAAGCTATTGGAATTTCTGCCTGGCAAATCTCTAATTGGAGAACGTGATTGATGACTCTTGGCTATGAACATGATACACGCAGAGGGGTGGGGGAAAACCAGGGTCAAGGGTGACAGTGAATTACGTGTCTCAGAATCGGCTTCATACAGGTCATGCCGATATGTTCGCTCTTAATAAATCCTTTGAAGTTTTTGAAGCTTAGCTCGAGGCCCATGATTTAATTAGGGCAACTGCCGGAATCCTGACACAAACAACAGCCCACAATGTAATAGCTAAGTCATCAACACCCCAATCAACCAATAAGAAGCCACATCCAATCAGACACCACATAAATACAATGCACAGAATAGTCCAAAGCACACATTCTGGCAGAGAGAAGCTCCCTGAGGATGGGCTCCGGGACAAGTCCGAAAGCTCAGAAGATAAACCTCTGGTCCCGGTGACTGACCCAAATTGGACCCTGCAACATTATCCCGGGATACGTATATTTGTCTCCTTTTGAGCATTAGAAGTTCCACTCAAACAGAAATGAACTTGCTTTCATTTTTCAAATGCAAAATGAAGTGGAATTTTCTGGAGTAGCAACAGAAGATTAAGGATAAGTTGGAAATTGTAACCCAACATTCCTAGAGGGGATGTTCCTCTAAGAGCCTTGGTCTTACCTGGCCATCTTCCATCTTAGTCTTTGGATAGTTGAGGATCAATTTTGTAGCCGCCTCCCATTTAAAATGTGTATCTTCCCAAGCCTACAACAAATCAGAAAAGATATTGGTTGATCACACAGCATAAACAACAGTTGGTGACTGCTAAAACTAACTTTTTTTCTAAGAAAAGGAAAAAGCCTACCTCGGTGTTACCTGCTGTTGGATGTTCAATACGCCTGAGCAGGGCCATCACTCTCTTCTGAAGAGCTGTTCTTCCTACAAAGAGTTGCAGTCAGAAACTGAGAATATTTTCTGTTTTGTTAACAGCAGAATAAAACTCAGTTTTATTTACATCCGAATCTTAAATACCCCCATAATTTTGCTGAGTGACTGGTCATAAGTCAAAAACTATTTATATGACATAAACTCTTGTATTATCGTTGCTGTGGTCACTCAGACCAAGTCCATATTCTGAAAGTGAACTTTTGAGTTTCTAAGGCATCAATGTTACATGGAAACCGAAGCAATAGGCATCAAGATACATGAACCTGTACACACCTATGGCTCCAGTTGCAAAAGATTAAGAATTTAAAGAAGCGCCTGATGTTTATCTATTGAAAATATGGTGAATATACTGAAAAGAAATCTTATGTTTAATAGTTCAGGTTTATGTGTACTGCAATGAGACCTCCTCTTACCTGTAGACATCATATTGCTCACAGAAGCAAACTCCATGAAGGTATTATAGTTGGGCAAGAAGTTGTGAACGGACACTTCATCTACCCCACACCTGATGTCTGCTTCCTCACAGAGATGTCGGAAACAGGACATTGCCACAAGCACTGCCTCAGTGTCGGGGCTCCAGAGAGACATATACAAGGCAACCTCTAACTTGGTTTGGGCTTGGCGACATATTGGTGTCCCACTGCAACCGACAGTGCTTTCCTTTGGAGACAAAACATTGGAAAAGCGGTGGTCGTTTTTCATATACAGTATTTCAAGCCTAATATATGTTCAGTGAATCCTCAATTTGCAACAATTATTTTAGCTAACATCCAGTGTTATAATGGCAAGTTACAATGGAAAAAGTAACTTACAACTTATGACCATCACAGCATCCTCATGTCACATGATCAACATGTGGACACTTGTCAACCAATAGGTATTTATGAAGGCTGCAGCATCCCAAGGTCATGTGTTTGCCATTGGGGGGGTGATTCACTTAACAACCATATGATTTACTTAATAACTGCAGAAACCTGCTTAACAACCATGACAAAAAAGATCATTAAATTGAGCGTGACTGACTTAACAACCATCTTGCTTACCAACAGAAATTCTGATTCTGGTCATAAGTCAAGGATTACCATTTTCTAGCACTTTAGATACTGAATAGTCCTGGAGTTCCCATCCAAAATAGGTTTTTATGACAAATTTGCAAGACCAAAAGGAAGTTTCTTTAACGGAAGAGACCATTATGCCACCAAGAAGCAAACTAGTGGTTTTTTTTTTCCTTTGGATAATTCCCCATTCACCTGCTTGGGTGTCTACAGAGGTTGGGATTGCATAGCAGGCTTAGTTAAACGTTAAGAGTTTGGAGGAGACCACTCCTTGGGAATTTCATGTCTATACAGGTAGTCCTCAACTTACAAGCATAACTGAACCCCAAATTTCTGTTACTAAGTGATACAGTTCTTAAGTGAGTTTTGTCCCATCTTACGACTAATGGTGCCATAGCTGTTAAGTGAATCACTGCAGCTGTTAAGTTAGTAACATGATGAAGTGAATCTGGTTTCCCCCTCCCTGTATAGTTTATTGAACAAGCTACCAAGATTGGGTTCACTCAAGAAAACATCACACAGAAAAAAATCCAGACCAAGCAGGAAGATTTTTATATTGTAACCATAATCTTAAAAATCACAGGGTGTGTGAGACAAATCCAGCCAGGCATATGATTCAAGGTGACATTTTTCATCACACATCACATAGCCAGTTACTGGTGACACTAAAGACTGCTGCTTCCCTACTCAGCAGCCTCTGAAAGGACAGGAAGTATTTCTGTAGCAAGACCAAAGGTCAGAAAATAGAATTAAAGCAGAGTTACAACACTGCACTTACAGATATCAGACCATTCCCTGTAACACTAAAAGTCACCTACCCTTTAGAAATTTAAATTAAATCAAACTACATTGGCCAACAATTCAGAAGACGTGTTTTTTTTTTCCATACAAGATTTCACGAGGCTGCTGAGAAGCAATCTCTTGGGTGGAGGAAGAAGGGATCAAGTCAAAGAAGATTGCCAGGTCCTAAACGGGCATAATCTGAGTAGATGGACATGCAGGCAGAAAAAGAAAACTCAGGCACAAAAAGCTAAGTGACTATTAGGCTTGTAACACCACATACAGGTTAGTCCTCGACTTACAACAGTTTGCTTAGTGACCATTCAAGGTTACATCGGCACTGAAAAAAGTGACTTATGACCATTTTTCACATTTATGATCATTGCCAACATCCCCATGGGCGCATGATCAAAATTCAGACACTTGGCAACTGATTCATATTTACGACATTTGCCGTGTCCGGGGGGCGGGGAATCATGTGATCACCTTTTGTAACTTTCTGATAAGCCAAGTCAATGGGGAAACCAGATTCACTTAACAACCCTGTCACTTACTTAACAACCGCAGTGATTCACAAAACTACGGCAAAAAAGATCGTCAAGGTCTTTCCAGCCACAGTGTTAAGGCAAAATTCACTTGACAACTGTCTCACTTAGCAGCATAAATTTTGGGGCTCTATTGCGGTCGTAAGTCAAGGACTGCTTGTAGCCCAGGCAAGAAATTTTAGGGTTAAATAGCATTCCATGGAGCCCTTTACTCACCATGCAGAAACTCCCTTTGCCCTTCCTGAGCGGAGCTCCCGGGATACAGCGCATCATCTCTTCGTGGTCAAGAGAAATTGGATTAGCTCCACCCCCAGAGACATCACATCCTACCCCATAAAGGAAGAGAAAAGGGCAGGAACTCCTATCTGATTGCTACAAAGAGAAGGAAGAAGAATTTAAGAGTCATCCAACTTTTGAAAGGAGCGAAAAATATCAAAGAAAAATGGGAGGGAAAGAAAGGTGGGTGATGGTCCTACATTTATGAAAGGAGAGAAAACACTTGTAATATGAGTAAAAGCATCATGAACGACACTTGACAAATTGATCTCCCCCTCCCCCTTCTTCACAAAAGAGGAGTCCTCAAATGAGAGGATTGGAAATTTAACACCCACATAAGGGACTCTTTTTCAGGGAACTGGTTCATTTATCTTTTGAGAAAAGCTCATATAGTACTCGCTGTAATTCTATGGTAGTCATTTTATACCATCTGAAACAAATCCCACTGCTAATCCTCTGTGCTTGCATGCAACACACGCAGTCCTCAAGTTACAGCTGTATTTGAGCCCAGAATTACGGTCACAAGTTGTGCTGGTTATCGAGTGGATAACCACGTGACTGTGACTGATTTTATTACCTTTTTTGCAGCAGTTATTAGGTGAATACCACACCTAATTTACCTACACAGAGGAGGCTGAGAAATGCTAACTGATCCAAGATTGAACTTTACCCTCCTAGTAGGGATATGAGCTGTTCAAAGCTGAAATTCTTCCCCATAAAATCAAACTGGTCCCTGATACAATCGGCAAAATGCTTTCTCCCTGGGTGACCGCCAATTCCTAAACCAAGAGCTGTCCTAAAGGTGCTTTTCAAAAGGCAAATGGATTTCCTTATTTTTTTCCTGGAAAACATTTGGTTTCTTATCCAAGATGTTTCTTCCGTTTCTTCTTCTGAACTGAAGAAGCTTCTTGGATAAGAAGCGAAACGTTTTCAAGGAAAAAAATCCAAGAAAGTACAATTGCCTTTTGAAAATCAGCTTTGGGACAACCATGATCCGGATGATTGACAATTTCCATACACAACTAGCCCAAGAGCTGTTCACCTAAAGAATAGTGTATGAAATCCTTACAGAAGTGCTGAATTAAATGTGTAAATGTCCAACAGGATCATACACCAAAAGACACTAATAGACAAATAGTGTGCTTTGATACATGGGATTATTCAAAATTCAAACTCCCCAAGCAGATGTAGAAGAGATAAACAGTAGCAATAATATCTTGAGCAACAAAAGAAATAAAGATTTTAGAAAAGGTTTTCATTTTCTTGCCAAGGAGATAAAATCTAGTTCACAATGTTAAGAAAACTGTTATGGTACATTTTCACTTCCTTTACTGAGCAACAATGTTACAAATAGCTGGAGCTAGTCAAATTTTCTTTCCATGAACTTCTAAGCTTCCAGTAAGTAGACAAACCAGCAACAAGTTCTAACTTCAAGCCTCCCTAAGATTTAGTTTAGTTTACTTTATTGTCATTGCACCTTGTATAATGAAATTAAACAAATAGGTTTTCACTTACTTTGTTTTTCAGAAGAAATTTGTTCCTGCAGATCAAAATTTCTCGCAACCACTTGAGGATTTCTGTGCTGCTGAGAATCTGATTGCTTGTTAGTCTCTTGCATATACAAAACAGCATTTGTGAACTTCAGGAATATGCAAATAAGAAAATAGCCACAATCAGTTATCAATCAGAGCATTCTATAGCATCCAAGGCAACGTTTTAAGGATGTTGTTCACTGCAATAGTCATGACAATTTACAATTTCCCTAATTCTGCACACTCGTCTGCCTCCCCTCCAAATCCCACAAACTGCAACACTATCCCAGGAAAATACTTAATTTGCCCAATCCTCGGGGCTCAAAGTTCTGAGTAGAAAATGATAAGATCTTCACAAATGTATAAATGTTTATACAAAACACTAGAAGGAAGCAGTTTTATCCATAATTCACACCAACGTGTCAAGGGTTGAGAATTGTTTCTGATAAGTTTAAGAGGTGAAAGCACAAAACATATCCCTTACAACTTTGAGTGTGTGAAAAACATCCCCATTTATTTTTATTTATTTATTTTTTATTTATTTTATTTGGTTTGTCAATTGCTTACAAGATAATAGGTATAAGTAAAAACATAGTTATGAATACATGGATAAATATAAGAAAAATAAAAGAAACAATAGGACAGGGACGGTAGGCACGTTGGTGCGCTTATGCATGCCCCCTACAGACCTCTTAGGAAAGGGGTGAGGTCAATAGTATAAAGTCTATGGTTAAAGTTTTGGGGGTTTGGAGAACAAACCACAGAGTCAGGTAGAGTATTCCAGACATTGACAACTCTGTTGCTGAAGTCGTATTTCCTGCAATCAAGTTTGGTGGGATTAACCTTGAGTTTGTATCTATTGTTTGCTCTTGTGTTGTTATGGTTGAAGCTGAAGTATTCATTAACAGGTAGGACATTGCAATGTATGATTTTATATACTATACTTAGATCGGACTGAAGGCAGCGTAGTTCTAGGTTTTCTAGGTCTAGAATTTCAAGTCTGGTGGCATAATTTATTCTGCAAAGAGTAGAGGAGTGGAGAACTTTTCTTGTGAAATATTTCTGGACTTTCTCAACTGTGCTAATATCAGATACATAATGTGGGTTCCAGACTGATGAACTGTATTGGTCTAGCAAATGTTTTGTATGCTCTAGTTAGGAGTGTGATATTACCAGAGAAAAAGCTCCGTAGGATTAGGTTAACAACTCTTAATGCCTTTTTGGCTATGTATTTACAGTGGGCTCTAGCACTTAGATCATTAGAGATGAGTATTCCAAGGTCCTTTACAGAGCTTGGATCATCAACAAGGTCTTGACTATTCAGCTTGTATTTTATTTTCTGATTTTTTTTGCCAATATGTAAGACAGAGCATTTATTTGTTGAGATTTGAAGTTGCCATTTGATTGACCATTGTGATACATAGTTGAGGTCTTTTTGGAGGGTAGTAGTATTGTCTGTGGTGTTGAACAGCTTTACATCATCAGCGAAGAGAACGCAGTTGCTCTTAATATGATCACAGAGGTCATTTATGTAGAGTATGAAGAGAGTTGGTCCTAGAACACTGCCTTGGGGGACACCATTGTTGATAGGTACAGAATTTGATAGGGCACTCCCAATTTTGACCATTTGTTGCCTGTTTGACAGGAATTCTTCTATCCAGTTATGCAGGTGTCCAGAGATACCATAAGATTTTAGTTTTAGGAGTAGTTTGTCGTGTACCACGTGAATCAAAGGCTTTACAGAAGTCTATGTAGATTGCGTCTATTGCTTTGCCCTGATCGAGTTTTTGCCCTGATCGAGTTCTTCCCTCACCCTTCTCCTTTCCCACTGTTCCCTTTTCTCATTCCCTTTCCTCCTCTCCTCTTTCTCTCTCACTCTCCGACACAGCATTTACTTTTATAACTGGAAATCAGGTATGGTTTACTGCTCTTTGACTGTCCTTGAACACACACACACACACACACACACACACACACACACGGGAAGAAAGAAATGGAAGCTCCTGCTGGCCATTGCCAGCTTTTCCTTCCACACTACTTAATGACTCACCCAAATACAGTATGATGCTGCAAAAGCCCAAGTCTGAGTACTTTGTTTTGTGTTTGGAACTCTACAAATCTTTTCAGAAACCTCAACTCTTCTCTCAAAGCGATGATGCTAACCGTATTGCCAATAATTTTGTCTCATTTCAGCTTGGACTGGAATAAGACTCCCTCCCCCCCCATTTTCTGGTGAGTTTTACTTCTGCTGACAATTCTCTTGACTTGGTTGCTATTTAATTTGTCTGTTGCTTTGCCCTGATCCAGTTGTGTAGTCCATATGTTTTTGCAGTGTAAGAGTTGCAGATTACAGGATAGTTTTTTTCTGAAACCAAATTGTTTATTGGAGAGTAGGTTATTTGTCTCTAAGTGGAGGATAATGGATTGGTTAATAATTGATTCCATGACTTTACAGGTGACACAGCATAAAGAGATTGGTCTGTAATTTTCAACTAGGCTGGGGTCTCCCTTTTTGGAGATGGGGATGACTGTGGCTTGTGACCATAGTTTTGGAAAGGAGCTGGTCCTGAAAGATTTTTCAAAGATTATGCTTATAGGTTCGTCTATGGCAGTGGATAGCTTTTTTAAGAAGTAGGCACATATTCCATCCAGTACAATAGATAGAGATGGTTTTAGATTGCGTAGTGCTTTTTCAACATTATCTACTGTAAAATCAATATGTATTAGATCATTGTAGTTTCTGTGGTTCGACTAGGAAATACTGGGCATGATCCATTGCTGTTTACAAATACTGAGCCAAAGAATGTGTTAAAGAGGTTGGCTTTAATAGTGTCATTGTTGCAGTCTTTACCATTAGGTCCTTTCAGGGGTGGGATGGACCTTGAGTCTTTTAGTTCATTGTTTACATTCTTTGTTGTTATGAAAAATTGGCAGGAGTAGCCATTAGATAAATATTGGGTGCATGTAATTTTGCAGATTTTTAATCTCAAAAACATCCTTGTCAGCACCTTAAAATGTGAGAAGAAAAAAAAAAGTAGGAGAGGGGGAAAATGGTAATAAAGGTACTCCCTATTTTTCTTCTACAAGTTTGGAGTTCTCATGGATCCACATTTGTAACACTTTTTAAAATTAATTTAACTTGTTAAAAGAAATAAAGTCTACAAAATATGTTATTTTGTTAAAAGAAAATAAGTACAACCCCAATCCCCAATTAGCATTGAAGTATTCCATATAATATATAAATACCTACATGAAATTAATTCAGTTGCTAAGCTTGATGTTAAATCTATAGCAAAGTACTTTGACATCTTCTCATTTTTAGAACATAAAGACTTTTCAAAAACAAGTAACCTGCAAAGCAATACATAGCTGTCCTCATAACATAGCTGTGTAGTATTGCAACCCACACACCCCAGATCTAACATCAGCACTCCATAGGGAGAAAAGTATAATGAAGAACATTACAACTGGTACACAGGTTTGATGGTCTTAGAGTGAGAAAAACATACACTGCTCAAAAAAATAAAGGGAACACAAAAATAAGACATCCTAGATCTGAATGAATGAAATATTCTTATTAAATACTTTGTTCATTACATAGTTGAATGTGCTGACAACAAAGTCACACAAAAATTATCAATGGAAATCAAATTTAGCAACCCATAGAGGTCTGGATTTGGAGTTACACTCAAAATTAAAAGTGGAAAAAAACACTACAGGCTGATCCAACTTTGATGTAATGTCCTTAAAACAAGTCAAAATGAGGCTCAATAGTGTGTGTGGCCTCCACGTGCCTGTATGACCTCCCTACAACGCCTGGGCATGCTCCTGATGAGGTGGCGGATGGTCTCCTGAGGGATCTCCTCCCACACTTGGACTAAAGCATCCCCCAACTCCTGGACAGTCTGTGGTGCAATGTGGCGTTGGTGGATGGAGTGAGACATGATGTCCCAGATGTGCTCAATTGGATTCATGTCTGGGGAACGGGCGGACCAGTCCATAGCACCAATGCCTTCGTCTTGCAGGAACTTGCAGGAGTGTGTCAGCCACATGAGGTCTAGCATTGTCGTGCATTAGGAGGAACCCAGGGCCAACCGCACCAGCATATGGTCTCACAAGGGGTCTGAGGATCTCATCTCGGTACCTAAGGACAGTCAGGCTACCTCTTGCGAGCACATGGAGGGCTGTGAGGCCCCCTAAAGAAATGCCACCCCACACCATGACCCACTGCCAAACCAGTCATGCTGGAGGATGTTGCAGGCAGCAGAACGTTCTCCACAGCGTCTCCAGACCCTGTCACGTCTGTCACATGTGCTCAGTGTGAACCTGCTTTCATCTGTGAAGAGCACAGGGCGCCAGTGGCGAATTGGCCAATCTTGGTGTTCTCTGGCAAATGCCAAACGTCCTGCACGGTGCTGGGCTGTAAGCACAACCCCCACCTGTGGACGTTGGGCCCTCATACCACCCTCATGGAGTCTGTTTCTGACCGTTTGAGCAGCCACATGCACATTTGTGGCCCGCTGGGGGTCATTTTGCAGGGCTCTGGCAGTGCTCCTCCTGTCCCTCCTTGCACAAAGGCGGAGGTAGAGGTCCTGATGCTGGGTTGTTGCCCTCCTACGGCCTCCTCCACGTCTCCTGATGTACTTGCCTGTCTCCTGGTAGCGCCTCCATGCTCTGGACACTATGCTGACAGACACAGCAAACCTTCTTGCCACAGCTCGCATTGATGTGCCATCCTGGATGAGCTGCACTACCTGAGCCACTTGTGTGGGTTGTAGACTCCGTCTCATGCTACCACTAGAGCGAAAGCACTGCCAGCATTCAAAAGTGACCAAACCATCAGCCAGAAAGCATAGGAACTGAGAAGTGGTCTGTGGTCACCACCTGCAGAACCACTCCTTTACTGGGGATGTCTTGCTAACTGCCTATGCTTTCCACCTGTTGTCTATTCCATTTGCACAACAGCATGTGAAATTGTCAATCAGTGTTGCTACCTAAGTGGACAGTTTGATTTCACAGAAGTGTGACTGACTTGGACTTAGTTACATTGTGTTGTTTAAGTGTTCCCTTTATTTTTTTGAGCAGTGTATTACAGGTAGTCTTTGACTTACAACCATTTGTTTAGTGACTGGTGAAAGTTACAACAGCAGTGGAAAAGTGAGTTATGACAGTTTTTCATACTTATGTCTGTTGCAGCATCCTCATGGTCATGTGATCAAAATTTGGATATTTGGCAATTGACATGTGTTTATGATGGTAGCAGTATCCCAATGGCATGTGATCACCTTTCTGACAAGCAGAATTAATGGGGAAGCCAGATTCACTTAGCAACCATGTTACTATTTTAACAACTGCGTGATTCACTTAATAGCTGTGGGGAGAAAGATCTTAAAATGGGGCAAAATTCACTTAACAACCATCTTGCTTAGCCACAGAAAATTTGAGCTCACTCGTGATCATAAGTTGAGAACTACCTGTACACTTGTTCTAAAACACTGCTTTGGTTAGCATGCAGAATTTTGCCTTTGTCCATGAAAGATAAATGTTTGGTCTGGATCCCAAATATTCTGATGGAGTTCTTGTCTCATGCAAAATTCCAGGATCCTAAGCTCTGTTTTTGGTTTTCTGTCTTTAGGGAGATGGGGCAGATATCTATCAGGATCTTCAAAAAACAGCTTCTTTTAACAAAGTATCTAATTCAGTTTTTTGGGGGAGATAATCTACGTTAACAGGAATGTGTTTATCCCCAAATGTGACTCTCCCCCAAAGCAATCAGGTTCATGATCTAGAAATTCCTAGACTCAGCCTAACAGCAGATCTTCAAGCATTGGCATGACTACCCTTCTATAACTGGGACAGCAACTGAATCTCTTCCCCAACAACATCACACTTGTCCACTATTGCAACTATATACCTTACAGATTATAATTGTTGCTGTGTGCTCTACTTAGTGGTCCCTTTGAGGAATGCTCAGAAACTCCAATATGACCAAAGAATAGCAGGAATGGCATTAATAGACATAGGCCTGCCTTGTAACACTGCCCTGGTCCCTTATCTATCTCAAAGCACAAATGGGTGGCAACGTTCAAAAGCCCCAATGCAGAATATTTTAGAGATCCATCTTCCTGGACCCAGGAACTGATGGAGGGGCCTTAGAAAGGAAGCAGCTCCCTGGCTGTCCTCAAATTGTGGAATGGGTTGCTTCATAAAGCTCAACTGATACCCATTTGTTGCTTGTCTTGCAACAAAAACATTTAAAATTGATTGGTTACTTTGCAACAAATAGATTTTAAAAAAATTACGCAGTCCTTTGTTTCGGCAGACAATCTTTTTTCTGTGGGGTTTTTGGTGCTCGTTACCCAACTGGGTAACATATCATTTGTAGTTTGCTAGTTTGAGCAAACCCCACCCCTTCTAGCACTGGTGTTGTTACCTAGTTGGGTAATGAAATGTCTGCAAGAAAACAAACATGCTCAAAGAGGACCAAGGACCCCACAGGCCAACACTGAGCTACAAATATTCTCTTCCGTTAATCTTTTACCTGCCATTGTCAGGGCTCCAACAAATCCCCCTCATTCAAAGCAAAAGTCTCTAGCCGCATCTCAGAAAAAGTAAATTGGTTTATTAGAAATTGCCATGTTGGTGCGTGGCTGGATGCAGCCGGTACTAAATCACATCATACATTTCCTCCTTGATCCTGATCTTTCCACCACCCGCTGGACGTGACTTCTCCAGTCTCTCTCTTGAAGAGTCATCCATCGTGCTCTCCAATAAGCTTCTTATGCTCCAACAACTTTGGTCTGCTGAGTTGATATCTAAGCATTTCAAGAATGCCTTGTTTTCCCCCACTCCCTTTTTCTGGCGGCTAAAAAGACCAAAGGAGTATCTTTTTAGTTGACAGCCATCTTGTTTCGTCTGCTGAATCAATACTGCTTTATTGTCCTGCTATTCTAGGGAAATATCATTTAGCTGCAATCCATCTTAACCACTTCAATGGGATGATTAGTGACTCAGCTGCTATTTTTCTATGCTTAAGAATTCTAGCTGTGATACAAGGTCCAGGAAAAGGAGTCAGTGGTAAGTCTGAACTGACCTGATTTCCCAGAATGTTTCGATGGGTGCATCAGGGTTCCATAAGTCAATGCTGTCTAATTGATGAAGCACAAGCAAGGCCTGGAAGCATAAACGTAGAAAAAAGAATCTGCATGAACATAACCCTAAACGGAAGATTTCTGCATCATGGGAATAAAAAGATTAGACCATCCTTCTTGCCCTGCCCTCAGGTGCTTTGGAGAATAGATGGACTCCCTCTTCTTTGTGGCAGCCCCTGAGATATCGGAACACTGTTATCATGTCTCTCCCTAGTCCTTCTTTTCATTAAACTAGACATACCCAATTCCTGCAATCATTCTTCATATGTTTTAGGTTCCAGTTCCCTAATCATCTTTGTTGCTCTTCTCTGCACTCTTTCTAGAATCTCAACATCTTTTTTATATCATGGTGATCAAAACTGGATGCAGTATTCCAAGTGTGGTCTTATACTGTAAATACTAATTCAGTTTCCTTACCTCCATGGCCTCTTGTGCTATTTCTGGCATGCTGGCCTGGGGAACAAGCTGGACAAGGCCTGTTATGAGTTCAGCTGTGCTGCCTTGTGTTTCAGGCCCCTGTTTCTTTGGATTCTGTATGAAAAGACAGAAACGATGACACATTTGTTCCTCAGTGAGAATTGCCTCCTGGATTCTACAAACATGAAAAGAGCCACACAAAATACAGCCAAATTGGTTGTATTGGTTTTGCATGAGGTTTGTGATTAGTAGGAATCTCTTCAGATACTGTGACTTAAAAGTGTTAATTCAATATAGTCTACTGCTGAAACTTGGTCACTGGAAATCAGAAAACCTAGACGGCTTGAATGTAAAGACTAGGGACAGGTCTCAGGATTTATATGGAATTGCTGCAATTTGTCTCAGATGGGACGCTACATCCCATATGTACCACAAATTAAAAGAAGTGTTGCAAATCAAAAGGCAAGTATTACGTGTTTTGTAACCTCCACTTCTGGAATACATATTTGTTCCTTTTGATATTTTTAAAATCTGGATTGATTGATTTATTCCATTTTTATTTTTTTTGAGTCTATGAATCTTTTGCCAACGACTGTTTTAAGAACTATGCGTGGATCTACATAAGAAGCTGGAATAAATAGGTAGGAATAAAGTTGGTGCTTATTTTATTTGGAAAAACAAAGTCCTCCAACATGTGTGAAGTAATTTAGGTTCAATAGATGATTGTACCATTTTCAGCTACAATAACGCTTTCCTGCAACTGTAGGTCCGAAGGGACATACACAAAACAAAAGGACATTTTGTCCAGTTCTAAAACAAACCATCCTCTTCCAGATCCTTTCCTCAGAGTCACTTTCCATGAAGTGGGTGGATTGATTAATTTCAGATTAGCTGCAAAATCTAAAACCCAGAACTTTTGGGTTGTTCGAGGTTTCAGTTGAAACAAAATCTGGAGTGATTTTACGAGGAGGGGAGGGTTAGGTTGGTGCATGTCAAATTTTCTTTCCTCTCTTACTCTGAAAAGTTTGGGCCCTGACTACTTGTCTTCTATAACCAATCCAGCACCTTCCCTTCCCTGCTTCCCCTCAGCAGCTCCTCTGCAGCATAGCGTATCCCACTATCACACCCACAGCCTAATTCAATGCCTTCCCTTCAATTTCTGTCCCTCAAAATGATTCTCACAGTCCATTAAAATTTTCACTGACCAAAATACATAGCTTATTTAGGTGGGATTCAAACACATTTAAACTTTTTCATTAATTTGTATAAAATGTTTCAACTGTTACTGTTTTTCTAATTATTCCAAGGATCAAGACGATTTTTATTCAGCACTTTCTGGATTTTGCACACTTTCCAGATCAGGTAGCAACAAATATCAATCTAAAATAGCTGTCAAGTTTTAAAAGTCCTTCAGCTGCTTTAACATCTGCATGTTATATTATGTTTATAGAAATGAATATTTTTGGCAGAAGGACTGTTAAAAAAGCAATTCGCAATCTTTAAAAAAAAAACAGGTTTTCACTTACATAGAGTAAGAGTTTTGGGTCAGCATGGATCAGTTTCACAATAGATAACAACAAAACTTTATAACTTCTGGTTTCAACGTCTGTAGGTTTTTCTTTAAACTTCAGGCTTGTCATTTTCTCTTTAAACGTAAGGCTCTAAGAAAAATAAAACAAAGTAATAAATATTCCAAACATGGAACTCATTTCAAACAGCAGTTTATCAACTATTGGTTCTAACACGTCTATTGCTGAAATATGAGTTGTACAGCTGATCTTTTTTATCAGTCTTTTTTTAATCAGTCTTGGATTGGAATTTCCATGGAGTCTTCCATTATGATGCAATATTCTCTTTACCTGATCCTTTTCATTACTAAAGAGAAGGGTTCTGAGGACACCTGAACAGGCTGAAAGCAACAAGTCAGCTATACTAGCAAGGCACACAGCATGGACAATTGTTGTATGAGAAAGGAGGAAACTAGCACAGAATCACAAATGGAAAGGGCCATCGAGACTACTGTATCATATCAACCTGCTCAATGCAGAAATTAAAATATTTCAGAAAGACTGAGAAAGGAAGACTCACCAGTGTGTAGAAACCAAATTCCACTGCTCTGTTGTTTTTATTTGCTGAGACTTTTTCTAAGATTAAATCAGTATTTTCCAACCTTGAGAATTTCCAGGAATCTGGACTTCCAGATTTCTCATTGTTAGGTATAACATTGATACCAAATATGGTTTGGGTGAATAAATATATAAAACTTAGATATCATGGTTTAAGTGCTTATCACTTTAAGCACAATGTTGCAGGCAATTAGCCGATTAAGGGTGCGGTTAGAAGTTACAATATAAGGAAGCATTAGAAGCTGGAAAACTTACTGTGACTAACTGTGAATACTGTTTGTACTGTGCCTGTGACCGAGATGATCCTGTCTGCTACTGTTTGCTGATTTACTGCGGAATTCAACTGTTCTACTGTTTGAGCGTCTTGCTGAATATCCAGAGTTTGTTTCTCTGGAGAGAGGCACCGGAGGAGGAGAAGATATCTTTATCGGCTGATAAAGATATTGTAAGGACTCTTAACTTGGACTGTAATAGTGAGTCTTATTGGATGGAAATATAGTGAATGACAAATGGACTGAATGACAATGCTTTAAACTCTAAATGGATTAAAAACTATTTAAACTACAAACAGTGTTTGTGTTCAGTGTGTGTATACTCTGGGGCCCTTCCACTCTCGTTTGGCTGCCTGGCTTGACTACTGCTGCAATACTCTGCTAGGGGTTAATCCCCAAACACTAACACTCATCAAGGATCATGCTGGCTGTGGAACTCTGGGAGTTGAAGTCCGCTCCTGGAAATTCCCATGGTTAGAAAATCCTGCCTTACAGTTTAATCCCTTGTAGGTTACCAAATTGCCTAGCAGTATTCATGCCAGTCTGACAGCCATGGAATGTTTGGCTTTTCTTGCCTATGATCTGAGAACACCACCACCACCACATGCCAAGATTTTTGACCTTAGGTTTTACATTGGAAAGATCACTAGGGAAAAAGGGAGAAACTTTTTTTTTTTTAATGGCCACCAAATGGATACTGCTGGATGCAACATTAAAACATCAAAAGGGGAACAAGTGCATTTCCTCAATATTCTGTACCAACTAATTAACAAAAAGCAAAGCCTCACCGGGGTCATGCGGATTGGGGTATGCACACCAGAGCCCTGTAAAGCTTTATGGAGAGTTTCACTGAACATGCTGCGGAGTTCCACGGAGTGGCAATAGACAGCATCGATCTTGGGCCACCAATCTAATGCAGACTAGAGGAGGAAGAAGATCAAAGGTCAGCGGAGATTAGCCAACAGGAGGATTCCAAAGAGCATACAGTCTAGCAAGGAATTCACAATGAAGTGGCCCGAGTATGACTGTGTCACTGCTTTTAGCAGATTTCCTAAAGCAAGTCACAATGGTTTTGATAGTGACATCATCCTGCATCACAGATATCATAAGAAGGCATGGTGGCTTAGTGGCTTAAAGACACTGGAGATGGTCTTTGCTCCAGCAGTTCAAGTCCCAGCATTGAGTGGCAAAGTGAGCTCCCATCACTTGCCTCAGCTTCTGCCCACCTAGCAGTTCGAAAGCATGCTACGTGCAAATAGATAAATAGGTACCACTTCAGTGGGAAAATAATGTTTTGTATAGTAGCATGAACCCAGCCAGTGCCAGACTTTCCCCAATTCAACACCCAAGCATGAGGCGACATCAGGAGAGAGAGAAGCCCGGATCATGCTGCAGAATGCTGTTGGAACTTTTCTGAATGTGGCAATGGTCCACCCCCTGTGGTGCACTCTGGATAGGGCTGTGAATTAAATGGACTAGCAATTGTCAGCAGCCAAACAATTATTTTGTACTAACACTATAATCTCCTGGTTAATTAACATCACCATACACTAAATAAATAACAGACATCATAAGTGATACCAGTTTACCAGTCCTTTAACACCTTGCTCCTCTGACAAAAAGGATGCAGCTGATAAGAATAAATTTAGAGAATGGACAAACTATTCTATTTGTGGCATACATAAGCCTTTAAAGATCAACATGCTGGCCCAGACAAACTTTATGTATACCCCCCATCTTCCTCACTCCCATCTTTCTTTCTTGTTAGATTGCCACTAACTTGGGAAATTACCCAGGGATCATAATGACTTAAAAACTTACATTTGTAATTATACGGTGGAGTGAATTTACCAGCACGTAATGAAACGTGGATGGGGAATTCTGTGCCAGGCAAGTCTAGAAAAGACAAGGGGGAGGGGTTAAGTTTCCTTCAGAAACAAACCTGGAAATCCAAAGTACAAACCCACCAGCAACATCTCTACTGCAAGCAAATGAACAGGACCAGGACAAGGGGGCACCACTGTGAGGCATGAATGAACACAGACCCGCCTACAAGGCAGGGATTTCATCAGCATTTCATCAAAAATTTCAGAAGAACAAACGCTGGGCCACAGAGTTCTTGATTCTTCTTGAATCCTGGCCATTTGACTTATCTGTCCAATCCCATTCTCAGGACCAACTTTAGCTAGGGAGCGGAGACCCAAGGAGCCACATCCTTACCTTGAAGTGTTGGTTATTGTGGGGGTTGATTCGGAAGCAGGACACTAAGCAGTCGATCATGAGGTCTATGTCTGCATTCTGGTTGCCTCTGGAGAAAGGCTTGTTTGGGTTGAAGAGCAGGTTCTTTAAGACAACAAACATAGGTCGTTGTTAATACAATCACCCCTAGGCCATGTTGAAAGAGATGGGGAACCAACAAAAGGTGGCTGAGCAAAGATTGTGATAAATCCCTTGTAGGCGAAAGTAGGAAAAATAATATTGCCACCATACTAGTTTAAGCCAGATATCCATGTATCTCATGGACGTCCTAAAGGTGCTTTTTCAATAGTCAACTGGACTTTGTTTTTTCTTGAAGATGTTTCACTTCTCATCCAAGAAGCTCCTTCAGTCTGAAGCTTTTTGGATCAGAAGTGAAATGTCTTCAAGGAAAAACAGTTGCCTTTTGAAAAAGCACTTTTGGGATAACCATGACCTGGATGACTGAGAATCACCATAGACAATTATCTCATGGACAGTCATAAGCCCAGCATATCATCCCAGATGCAGAGATAGGCAACCGTAGAACAATCCATGCAATGGTTCTAAAACTCTTGAGATTTACTTCCCCATCCAGCCTTTTCTTGAACCATTAAGAGTGAGGATTTTTTTCAACAGAAAAGGCAGGACTCTCATAAGGTGAAGCAATGGCTGTTAACTACCATTAATCAACTTAGACACAATACCAAGCCAGGATCTGACAGGCTGCCCTCAAAGAATAATTAAAGGTTCAGAGTTCAAAATCTCACACATACAAAGCAGTGTATATTGTTTGAGTTCCTTTTACTATTTTACCTTGAGATCTACTACCATGGACTGCACTAGAAGAAAAATAACTGAATTGTCTTCCCAGCTGATGTATGTTGATGCTTTGCACAATTTTACACAAGCGATGGCTGCACTATCGGTTAGCTGCCTACTTCCACTGTGGCCCGCCAGAGCCTTCCTGAGGTTGTCCAAGAATTGTTTCTGTAGTGTCCAAAACATAAGAATTAGAAAATAAGTTAAAATTGTATCTAAATTCAAATTTCATGACAGACACTGTTCTGCCTGAAGAAGATCACCATTTACTTGTCAAGCGTGGGAAATCAGGAGTCCAGCCAGTTCAAATGAATATAAAGGTTTATTGCAAGCTTAAGCTCTCTACAAGAATCTGAACTACTAACAATCAAAGCAAATTGGTGGTAGCTAAGAGTCAATGGATTTCAAGGTGGGCTGAACTTAGAACTCTTGTGGGTGCTAAGGGACTCAAGACTGATGCCGCATTTGACCCCTCCCTCAGGTTCAGTCTTGTCATATTCTACAGTACTGATGCAAAAGATGTTTGTTAAGGTTAAGGTCCTACAATATTCTGAGTCCAAACCACTTTTGGAATGCAAAACCACTTTTGCATTGTCATACTCCAGTAGAAAAATCAAAATTTGGAGGCAGAGGATTAAAGGCTAATGTCCTAATATCATATTAGATGATTAGATTAGTTTGCTCAAGAGCTGTGGTGGTGCAGTGGTTAGAATGCAGGCTAATTCACTGCTCACTGCCAGGATTATGGTCAGCTCAAGGTTGACTCAGCCTTCTATCCTTCCGAGGTTGGTAAAATGAGGATCCAGATTGTTGGGGGCAATATGCTGACTCTGTAAACTTCTTAGAGAGAGCTGTGAAGCATTATAGAGCGATATATAAGTCTAAATGCTATTACTACTGCTGTATCACTTAGTAGTAAAAGTGGGCTGGAAATCCCTTAATAGAAATATAATCCTGCGCTTAAAAAAATTTAGCATGTTGAAAAGATGGACTGCTCACCAACATATAGTACAGGTAGTTAGACCATTCTAAGCTACAATGGACCCCACCAAAAGCTACTTATGACCTGGTCCTGGAGTTCCCACAGCTGCACACGGCCTCACATTTTAGGTGCTTGGCAACCGGCTCACCTTTATGGCCAATTGCCATAAAGTGTTCCTTGGACACATGAGTACAACTTATGACTTTTTTGCCAGTTTCTGACATTTTTGGCCAGCTTGCAACAAAAAACATCCATAGGAATACATGGATTCATTTAACAATCATCGTGTTTTCTCAACGATCATGACATTTGCTTAATGAGCACTGCAAAAAAATTTATAAAATTGTATCCAGTCATGTAGGTTCCTCGACTTACAATCCTCATGACTTTCAACAGAAATTCCAGGCTCCGTTCTAGACATAAGTCAAAGGCAACCTAAATGCATTCATGAATTGCATGTTTTGAATATGGCTTTAATTAAAAATCATATCTGGTTGTTTTTTAATGTTGCCGAAATTCTCTTTTTTTCCCCCAACCATTATTTGCTTACTGGGGTTAAACAGAGAAGAAACCAGAAATGGGATGGAAAACAATATATTGAGTAGAAAGCTGAAGAATGAAAAAATACACATGTTCATATCTACACCTTGTAAAGAAATAAAGGTCACAAAAGAGGATTCACAGGAAAAACTATTTTTAAAAAAACTTAACAAACGGACCACAAAAGAAACAGGGGAAAAAGAATGTTGGGAGGATCCTTCCATTTTACCAGGAAATCAAATTGGCCCCAACCCTGCTGGCCTTTTGCAAGGATCTGAAAACATGGTTTTTGCCAAGGGCCATCGGGACAAGGGAATGGAATTGAGCCACCTCAGTGGTGGTACTGTTATTGGAGGATGTAATTACCTTGACTTTTTAGTGTATTTTATTATAGTTTTATGTGTCTTTTTATGTTATTTGTTCTGTGTTTTTAAGACTACTATATTGGTTTGCTGTTTGTTTGTAAGCCACTCAGGGTCATATATATGATATGGGTGGAGAAAGGAAGAGAGAAAGAGAAAGAGAGAGAAAGAGACGAAGAAAGAGAGGAAGAAAGAGAGAAAGAGAGAAAGAGAGAAAGAAAGAAAGAAAGAAAGAAAGAAAGAAAGAAAGAAAGAAAGA